GACTATTGGTCATATGGGAGAAAAAAATCATCTTAAAACTGCAACAGATGATACAGCAGTCACTCTACATTATCCATGGTGATCTCACTGGGATGTGCTGGGGGGGGGGGGCTTTAAGATCAAGGATTATCAGCAGGATGTATCAGCAGGGTTCACTATATCCATTTACATTAAGACTGAATGCTGACAAAGTGTGCACGGTCCTCATTTCTGACCAAAAACAGGCTAAAAACCCATAATTTCTGGGTTTCATTTAGTTAAACAAGGTAGAATTAAATTCTAGGTAAACCATCGATGACAACCCAAATGTCTAAATTGAGGAAAAGAGCTTGTGTGAAGGCAACACTATACAGGGGACGCAAAATGGAAACCCTCCTATATAATTACTAGTTGTAGGGCCCCTGTTGAGCTAGCCTGTCGACCTAAAGTGGCCACAGCAAAGGCAAATGAGGGGTCAGGTCCAGTAAAGGGTATATTTAGTCTGCCGATGGCAAGCTTTTTAAAAACAACACGCCCTTTCCCTAAGTCACATGGCTCTGGAAAAACTTCCCTATAAACATACAGGCAAGTGAAGTAAGCTAACTAGAGGAACAAGGATTACTGTGTGGTGTTCTCTGTCCAAGTACTGAATGTGCCTCTGTAGTCTAACATGAAAACATAATCACCAGGCTCTTTTTCTTTTAATTAAAAGGAGGGGAAAAAGTGGAGGAGTTTTACTATTGACATCTGTACTGGCAAAAAGAAAAAGGAACTTCTGGTGATCACCAAGAGAATATATAAAGAATCTGAAATTTGCTGTTTTTTGTTATTATTTACCAGTGTTCAGAGTTTGTTTTTTTAATACAACAATGGTAATATTATTGGTACACAGTGCAAAATGCCAAACTATTAAGAAATGCTAAGTGCTGCATTGAGAATCCATCTAATTTTTTAAGTGTTGCCACTCTGTCTGAGGTAAATAACTTCAATCTATAATATAGTTTGGGGTCACACAGAAGCCACCGCTCTCAGTAAAATCATAAACCTTTCACTTGATGTAATTTCCTTGAGGCTGCTGTGATGGGGCACATAATGTGAGACTATTTTGGGAAGCCCAGCTGAAGGTCCCAAGCTCGTGAATGGTAGTTGCATTGGTGGTAGTTTAAAAAAAAAAAAAAAAAAAACAAAACACCTTTTTAAAACAGCAACAGCAAAGGGCAGGTGACTTCGGCACCCAGAGTGGGATACTTCTCTGCAGCTGGATTTTAAATCAGCTAATGTTAGCCAACATTTTAATGACTTTTTCTGTTAAGTGGTTAAAGAGTGCAATAAGGTAAATCCAAAACAAACAAACAATCTTCCAAATTGCAGTTTCCCACCAGTCAAGGAACATTCAAAATGAGCTGTAAACATCACTGAAACCTTGCTATATTTTCTCCGATCCTTTCCGCCTTTAAAGAGGACCCCTTTCTCTTCTGCCTCTCTCTCAAAGCACTCTTCAGCAGGCACTGATTTCACGGTGGTAATTTTGGCCCGGCATAGACAAAACCCTCCTTTGGAGTGCTGTGTGAAAACTCATCCCATCGCCCACAGGATGCCACAACACTAACAGTGTGTCCTCCTGAACTTGGCAAACCAGTACATAAAACACTAATTTCACCGTTTCCTTCGCAGCACTCGGAGAGGGATAAACACAGAGCCAAGAGAAAAACTTCAAACTCCTCTCACACCGATTTCTCGTGATCTGGCCTGCAGAATTAGGTCAAGTGTTCACTTCTCACAAGTGGCGCATACACAGTTTACAGTGAAAGTAGCAGATTAAAAATAAATCCAATACAAAAGGTCCATTTGTCACCAGCTGACTTTAATTATAACAAATGTTTAAATATTCAACCGAGCGCCATACGCCCCCTGGCCTTATGCACACTGTAGATAGTTTTATCATGTGACTGTTGTCCTATCTAAAGTATACATATAACGTAATAACTGAAATAACAATAATAAATAAATGGATAAAAGAAACATGAACAAGAGGAGCCTACAGAGCTCATTTTGGAAAAGCACAGTGTGTTTGGCACAACAGTGCATTCAGATCATAATTCTGATAGCAAAAAGCTGCCGAACAGGACAGGATTTAAGAAACAACCCCCCCACAAAACCGAATGTTTTCACCAGCCAAAATGGATTGTAACGCTACAAATTTGGTAATAGATCACAGCTGATTTAAAACTACCTCTAAAGGAATAAACTACCATTTTAATGCATGTCTTTGGTGAGCAGAACATTTGTCAACACTTTGCTAATCAGTCCTATTTCTGTTAAGCACTTTTGGTGTTGATCACAGCTGAAAGAGGTGCGGGCTGATGGCTGCGGCTGGAAACTGCATTATGTTGATAGGCCTCGAGCTGCTGAGGGGGAAAAGCAAACATCCCACAGGTGTTCGGATTCTTTTCATAATCGAGTGTGGCTGAGCGACGCATCCTGTACTGACAGTTTGCTGGGAGCGAGGCTCCTGTGACTTCACTCCATGCTGCCAACTGATTTTTTCAGCCTTTATCTCGTCAGGCCTCCCTACCTGGAACGCTAACTTTGTGTATTTTGTGTACGTTTTAGAGCCGAGATGAAATTGCGGCGATTGTGGTTCAAACATTCACTCTCACATTTAGCAGTTTCTTAAGGGAAGTGGTTTTCAAACAGTCTGTCGAGTCTGCAACCACTGCAGGTGGAGCAGGGACGAGCAGAATGAACGAACACTGAGTGAGGAATTTTTCAAGAGAAAGAAACATTTAATTTCATGAAAATTTAAAAAAAAAAAAAAAGTGAACTACTTCTTTTTAGCTTTGGTCCCAGATTATAAATGAACACGTTTTAGATCAAACAATGTGTTCGTTACTTTGTTACTTACGGGTCTGTAAGTAAGAAAGAAGAGTTTATTCTTGCTTTACTGGTTTTGAGATGAGAAAAAGACGCTATGGCTACTAATTTTAGTATACCTGCATCTTCTATCCCATTTGGCAATTGTGCTGCTCTTGCAAACCGTAACCCCACAAGCTCAACACAGCTTTGAAAGTTGCTTAGAAAGGTAGTGAAGCTGGGCACGCTAGCATTTAAACATGCAGAGCACCAAAACAACACTTCTGCTCTCCTGTTCAAGTTTCAGAAAGTTGATAAAAAGACGGCACCCTCCAAACGCTTTCAGGTGCCAAGTTTCTGTCCATCTTCAGCCAGCCGGACACCACTTTGGCATATGGAGAAATTCAAAGCTTGACAGACCTGCCGTGCCTAGTTACGGTAGCTAAGCTGTGACTGGACAATTGCTGTCTGGGGGGGCCTGAGTAAAGCCAGAGTGAAAAGCTAGTTGCATGTGTACACAATACCCGTCACTACATGCATCATTAGATAACAGTAATTAAGGCAACACAGACCGATAGCTTGCTTCCAAGCGGACGCAGAACAGAAGAATCACGACTGGAAAAGCAAAGAAACACCAAATCTCATAGAGGAAAGCACAGGGGAATGATGGGTGGGGGAAAAAAGGAAGTTGCAAAAACAAAAGGATTCAAATCAGAATCAGGCTGTCCAAGTGAGATCATGCAAGGGAAACGCACACACACACACACACCAAAAACAGTAAAGCCCCAAAGTGGTTACAGGGGAAGGGGGTTGGAGAAGGTTGGAGAAGCATGCAGCATTCGTGTTGAAGCCTGCAAGCCAGCGAGCAGTGCAGTGTTGGTCTGCACAGCAAACAGGGAGGGGAAGGAGGGAGAGGAGTTGAGTTTCTGACCTGTGAATCCTTAAAGGATGCGACGCTCTTCCTCCGGAGAGAATTATAAAATTCTCAAGCTAGGGAGGGGGGGAAGAAGACAGAGAGATCAGACATGACATTTATGTAGTGTGTGAGAGCCTACAAGAGGAAGAAGGTTCAATGTGGCTAGTTCTTTTTTTTTTTAGACCATGGTGACACAGATATAGTGATGATTCAATGCAAACCATGTTGTATATTCAGAATGACAGTAAATAACATTTATAGAAAGATGAAGCAATAGCCACAATCCCCACACACACATATTTATACACACACACACACACACACACACGATAGATAATAATTTTTTTAAAAAGACAAAACAATTACATAACAACTTAAATATCCACAAAGACTGTATTATCATGGTGATATCATGATACCATATTAGAACCAATAGTGAGCGGCCAGTTATGACCATTAACCTCAGCTAAGGTTCCACTTCCTTTCCAGCCTTGCATGTCAAATAACCACATGTAATTAAAGAAGTATTTGCTCTTCCACACTGAATTTTATTTGCTTTGTGTGCTAATCTCATGAGAGATCCGTCACGGCCAAGCCTCAAAACCTTATAACTTCTGTTCTGCATAATTTCTAAAGGATCATCGCTCTAACAAAACGACAAAAATGTTTAATTCTGCATCAGACAAAACGCTAAATTAAATCTGTTCCTTTAATTTCATAAAATAAAAAGTTTTAGTAAAAAAATTTAAGTCCACAGCTTTCAGGCTGTATTTTGCCATAGCAGTGCTTTGAGGTAAATGCTACAATGCCATACAACGACAATGGCCATTTTCTTAGCTTAGCATGTTAACACTGAACTGTAAAGCTCAGTAGAGGCTCTTGGGAATGGTATTAATTCTGTGAATTTTGTTTGTTAAGCCACTTAACTCTGACCTCTGAATCACTCAAGCATAAAATAGGCACCTAACTCAAAGAACCAGTGTTGTCTCTACACATGACAATTTAGGAATCTTCAGGCACTTTGTTACCAGCAGCCTGTTACAAAAAGCATGTTATCTTCAGTTAGAGCTGAGAAAAATGCCAAAGACAAGGTACTTTTCTTGTTGTGCAGCCTTTGAACGAATCTGAGGAAACTGAACAAGCAAGAAGTGACAGGCCTCAAAGCTACACACATAAAAATAAAAAAATAAAGTCACACTATCTTTGGGGCGATCATGGCTCAAGAGTTGGGAGTTCGCCTTGTAATCGGAAGGTTCGAGCCGGTTCGAGCCCCGGCTTGGACAGTCTCGGTCGTTGTGTCCTTGGGCAAGACACTTCACCCGTTGCCTACTGGTGGTGGTCAGAGGGCCCGGTGGCACCAGTGTCCGGCAGCCTCGCCTCTGTCAGTGCGCCCCAGGGTGGCTGTGGCTACAATGTAGCTGCCATCACCAGTGTGTGAATGTGTGTGTGAATGGGTGGATGACTGGATATGTAAAGCGCTTTGGGGTCCTTAGGGACTAGTAAAAGCGCTATATAAATACAGGCCATTTACCATTTACCATCTACAGCAGATGAACAGTATCTGAAAGCATGTCCTTAAGAAATAGGAAAAAAATCCAGCAAAGAACAGTTTGTGGAAGAGCTTTGGAATATCCTTCCAGAAGCCTGGGGAATTATTCCTGAAGAAAGTTAAAAGAAACTCGAAGAAAGCTTGCCTAATCTAATGTTTCAGTAAATCCTTGGACCTTTTCCCCTCATTTTACTAGAATATATTAAAACATGATGTGTGCCTCAAGACTTTTGCACAGTACTTTAAATAGAATTCTAGGAGCAGTAAATGTACACTAAAGGTGTCACTTGTCTACTTCGTGAACTTCTTATTAAAAACTAAATTCTTAACTCTTCTGCTTCCTCTGGACTGCATAGCTGTTTGTTGTGCTGCCACTCAGTGCATCAAATTGTTTCAAACGTTACTAAAATCCTGGTCAGTACTTTAAAAAGTACATGAAGTATCCTCTAAACCACTAGAAAGAACAGTCAAAGTAGCAAACAGAGAAACTCCACGGTTGAAAGAACTGTAGAAAGTTTTTCTTGGGGAACCCCCTTGGGTTGTTTTTTTTTAAAGAGCTTTTGAAGTTTCGCACAGTCTGAGCCCTGGTGTTGTGCATCACTAACGAAACATAAAGATAACACAGACATTAGGGAATAATATGCAGCCAGGTGGAAAATTATTTCCCTTTTATTTTTTAGTGCATAAAAATACGATTTTTTTTAGTCTAAAGAATGAAAGTAGAAATCTTCTTATTGTCCCTGAAACAGATGGGTGGGCCTCCATTCACAACACTTTCCAGTCAGTTCCCTCGGACCGCTTCTCTGAGCAAAATGAAAACAGGCTGAATTAATTCTTCCTACACGAGTAGACCAGCTTTATTCACACATTCCTCTAAACTCAGAGTGAAGAACACGGCTTAGAGTTTCACTTGCTTTGACTAGAGTTCAATATGTGCCTCTGGGTCAGTTTCAACAGGTTCTTAAAAAGAATCCCAAAAAAAAACCGCAAGAAAATATCGACAACACAACAAGGGAAAAAAAAGACTAAAGCTGAATCGACATTGTTGCTGGAGAAGTCCCAAACTCTATCTCAGAACAAGGAGATAAATGTTCCCCTCGAATGAATCCAGGTCAGCTAAATCAACCCAAATATGCAGATTCATTAGCATTTGCCTGGTAAGCTACTATAATGGAGGCCCCCTACACTACTGTATAAAAGAATAATCTGATTATGTTAAGCAGTGACGACTACAAGCATGGTTAGTTCTCTGATCGCATAAATAAAGCTTTCGATTTGCACGAGCATTGCCAACATATTATCGCTCTTTATTAAAGAGGAGACCACAGTATTCTGCAATGGGGTGGGAGAGGTCGGGCAAAATTTAGTCTGCTTGACACATTTTTTTCCTCAAGTAGAAATTTCTCTCCTCTTCTTCCACTTTTAACTAATTTTCACTACGAGACCAACAAACAGAAAAAAGCTTGTATACAAACGAGCGCTGCCTTGTCTCCCTGACTCTCTGACAGCATCAATGGAGAACTGGGAATAGATGACAGACGCAAGATTGATGAGCCGAAGGCCAAAGGGTGCATCCCCCTCGACATCTTCAGGAAGCGCTTTGACTTGGCTTTCCTCTGCTCCCACAAAACCTTGTGACAGCTGATACAAAGTTTTTAAACCGTGCACCCACAATCCTCAATGACACAACTGACACCACGCCTTCACATGTCTCAATTCAGGATGTTGAGACTGGGCGCAAGCCGAGCCTGTGCCCCGAAACATGCCCTTGGTGACACAGTGGTCTGGAGAACGGACGGAGAGGAAATGGAAATGTCAGGGTTTTTAAATTGATGAGTGGACTTGAATGAGGATGGGGCTAAAGTGTCCTTTTGAAGACTCTTCAAGCCAGAGCAAACGCTTTAGTAGCCCTACTTCAGGAACTCAGCTAATGGTAAACATACTGACCCCACTCCTCTGTGACACCCGATTTTCTCAGTTTGAACTACTGTTGGAACGTCTTGTCAAGATCTCTCTCCCCGTTTGGTAACAGTAATGAATTCAGGAACTTTGAAACAAATACTTCCTATGGCTGCACTCTCAGATTACACTATATGGACAAAAGTACTGGGCCAAATTGCTTAATCTTTGATTTTAGACATTTTCAGTCCCACTCCCACTGGTGTATAAAAAAAGAATAATCAAACACTTAGCCATACAGTCTACCTTTGCAAACATTTGTGAAAGAAAAGGTAGTTGTCAAGAGATCAACAGACTTGAGCGCGATTCTGTAATGGGATGCCATCATCGCAACAAGTCAGTTTGCAAAACTTCTTCCCTTCTGGTTATTACACAATCAACTGTCTGTGGAAGAATTTCAAAAGCCATGAATTGTCAGATTGTGCAAAAGATACAGAATGAGGTTTGCCAAGTGTGTAAAAACTGCCCGTGCTCTGTTAGACTCAATAACTCCTTTGCCATTAACATTGGCAAAAAAATCTGTGCACCGGGATCTTCATGTAATGGCTTTCTATGGCTGAGCAGCTCCTGTAGGTGTAATGTGGCCCAGTAGCTTTTTTTCTCCCCCCACATAGTGCATGTGTCATAAAAGTTTAAAATGGCAAGAAGTTCAACGAGTAAAAAGTTCAAGCCAAACCCAAAGTTGTATTTTAGGTATCTCAGATGTCTATGGCATGCCTTATCAGCTTTGGTTCCCATTCATAAAAGTACACAGTAACTCTCCAGTCATGCAAGTGGCTTTTGGTGAGTCATCAAACAAAGTTTATTAGGTTACACACAGGTTTGGCACAAAGCTACTCTGAATAGCTCCTTTCCACATCCTAACATATTTCCCAAAGTAAAAATGCTTATTTTGAGCAGTTTGGTATGTTTTTCTGCTAACATTTGCAATTACCACAAAGTGCAGCTGATGGAAGTGTTATTAGTTTTGAAGTATGTGATAAATCCAACTGGTGGGGAAAAAGGAAAAATGAAGGGATCATTAAATTGGCAACTGTTCATCCTGAAAAGGAAACAAATGTCTGCGCAAATTTATTGTCAGTTCATCCCACAGTTGTTGAAACAATTTCCTCAAACCCACAAATGTCACCCTGGAGGGAAGGTCTGGCCTTTATTTAAGTCATCAGGATTCATCTTCTGAACTTCATCGAATTGTGCACAAACTCCCACAAGTAAAGACCAGTATTATCCCCTGTTTTATTCAGGTGGCTGGAGGAAACTAGAAAACATTTAATAATAAATTTCCAATAAAGAAGTCAAATTGCAGAGTGGTGAGCCCTTAAATATCTTTACTCACAAGGCTGCAACATTTAGCACATTTCTGGTGCCACTGTGGTTTTTACTGTAAGCAGCCATTAAGCATATAACCAGCTTGCATCCTCACTCCCCTGAGACTGACATGATTACACACACATGGGGCCTAGACACAGATAAGCAAAGCGCATAAATAGACACCACACTGTCAATGTGCATGTGTCAACCTCGTGCACATGCACACTGTGCAGCTACCATTACTGTCCATCTATAAACATCCCAAGTTTCTGACAAGGCTGTCAGCAAACACCACCACAGGTGGGGGATGGAAGGAAAATGGTAGCAACAGAGGGAGAGAGAGAAAAATGGCTTTGTTAAGAGAGAGAGAGCAAATTCACACAGTGGTTGTAGAAAGGGAAGAGAACAGATGCGAAGAGCAAGGAAAAATGAGTAGGAGGAGGAATCTCCTTATGGAAAACAAGACGGGAACAGTTACATAAAGAAAGATGATAGTATGGTTTGAGGGCTTAAGGAACAATGCTTTTTTTTTTTTTTATCTTGCTGTCCCCATTTTCCTTAAAGACCAGAGGCACCAGATGGAGATGCAATTCACAATGAAGAGCTTACACTCAGCGCACTTCTGTCTGTATCTGAGTGTGTTTGAGGCACTGTGCTTCTCTTTGTCCTTCCTATGTGATGTAATATATTCAACCCTGATGCAACTCTTTTAAGAGGGAAAAGAAAATAGGTGAAATTCCTGTTTACTCAACATACACAGAGTGAACAGAACATAGACTCTAGACTTTAGCACACGTGCACGCACACACACACACACACACACACACACACACAAACACACACACACACACAAAACAGTGCGTTGTAAAGGATTACGCAGGCTTGAATTTAACCAGGAAAAAAAAATGCCTCCAAGCACCAGGGAGCAAATCTGGCTTTAGAACCTTTCCTCATCCCAGAGCATCCTGGTACAAAAGGAAAATCCAGCAACTGAAACATGTTCGTGTCTGAGGATACTAGAGCAAATGTACAGATGGATAATCAGCTTCTGACTCAAGCAGAAAATCTGATTGGAAAACACAGATCAGAGCTCTTCGATTAAACAAATGCCAGAAAATTATAAATAATCCAAAAAACACCAAATATTCTTCGTGTTTCTCACGTTTCCAGAGGCCAGCTTGACTTTGGGAATACCAAGTGGAATGCACACATCTGCAGGAATGTCCACTGGTATCCAGCTATGTGTAAATGTTTGCTCATGAGTGAGCTAAGAAAAAAAAGTGTGTGTGTGTGTGTGTGTGTGTGTGTTGGAGAGAAAATAAGTGGCCATCTTTTTCTGCCTTTGTGTGAATCTTAAGTAGACCCATGTTGAGGGAGGCTTTGTTCGCCGTCACCATCGGGGGGCACGTCCTCCAACTTTTCCCCTCACTTCCTTTCAACATAACATTTATCATTCATCCCAGTCAAACAATCATCCTACAACACGGGCGAGCATCTAGCACACAATAAGCTACCCTCCCACCACCACCACTTTCTGGTTGCTGGGATACCTTTCATCCAGCTTGTCAATATCATCATCTCTTACTTAGAAACTCCCCGTTCCTCGCTACAATTGATTCCGTGCAGCAGAGGCTTAATAAAAACTCTGCCACGTCTTGTTTTCAAAATAAAGTTTCCAAGAATATCTTCTCTTCTTTATACCGCATCCAAATCATTATAAAAACGTCTGGCTCGGCAAAAATTGCAATGCATCCTTGAGGGAACCTTCTAATTTGCAAGGGAAATTCCCTTCTGGGCAAATATAGGATTATTTGGATTTACTAAACTCAATGCATATTTTACGCTGACATTACAGAATGCCAGTGTTAACCAGGGAAGACACCCGAAGGCCTGCTTCATATAAAGACAGCGTGATTCACCAGATCCACCCCTCCCTTTTCCTGTTGCACTTTCAAAAGGGTTAACAGGTGCATTAGCAATAAGTAGAGAGATGCTGGAGTTGCTGACCCACAGCTAACAACATAATCTTATCAACTGTACTCTGTGCATATAACCCTGTGTCGCTTTACCAATTTCTCTTTCTTTTTTATAAACTCAAGCACATAATAGTTTGGGCCTTGTTTGACCTTTTTTTATGCAGTTTTTGTGCGCATCCCTTTCAGCTGACTGACCTGCACCGCTTATTCTGCCTATAATGATTGCTGACAGCAGATTATTTTTCCTACTGCACCCAAATTCTCCATAGATCTCTGCAGATCAAATCCAACAATCACTGGAGTGAGAAGCAAAGGCCAAGTGGACAAAAGAGACAAAAAGGAGACAGACAAGTATAGATAGAGACCTGCAAAATGAAAAGGGGGAAGGGAAACAAAATGAAGAACACAAAGAATAAGCAAAAGAAGAGGCAGCATGAAAAAGGTTGAAAACCCTTTAAACGACTGTGTTTTGTGAGGGAAATAAAGAGCTGCTAGCAGCAACAGCAACATACCAGCACAGCGAACGAGAATGCAAATCAGCCCCCGATGCAAATGACATACATCTACAGGGGCCAAGCAGACTGTCTTTTTACCAACACTGCCTACCGTAAACCACATCAAACATCTCTCTGCGCTATCTGAACCCATTCCTCCTTGAATTCTGCACGGTTAACACACTTACAGGAATGCCTACAAGCTGATGCAAAGCAAAATAACCACAAGAACAAGCATCATCTGGTTACTTCTCACTCAAACAACACGCCTGATTACTGTGAGCTCTTTGCACGCCTACACATGAACGTGCTCTCCAGAAAAATAACAATAAGTCACTTACTTGTCCGTCATCACGTCGGCTAGCGAATACTGATTCATTAAATCTTCTTTTCACGTTCCTTCACACAGCTGAAACGGTTGAGCGAGACGCCCGGGGCTATGGTCGCAGTACACGTCTACAAGAGAGGTTAAAAAAACAACAACAACATTGGGTTAGAGTAAATCATCGGAAATGAGGAAAAACAATTGAGTACCTGCTTTCACTCTTCTGCATATAAATAATAGCAGAACACACGTCACAACGGGACTGAAAAAATAAAGCCAATGCCCAAAAAAACTGCAGTTCCTCAAATGACCACTTGGTGACTCCAAGCAAGTCGATCCTTGTAGACTCCTATGATAAATTATTTGACTTTACACCAGAAATAGACATGTTTATAAAAATGCTGTTTTGGTCTATCGTAATCATTTCACACGCACAACAAACATACTATGGTTGATTTTCTTTTTATATTTATTTTAAATTGGCATGCCGACATTGGCAAGATAACTTGCTGCATGAGAAGGTGATTTTAGTGAACTTGAATCTGGCACTGTTGTTCATTTGTTGATGCCAGAGGTCAGAGGAGAACTGCCAGATTGCTTCAAGCTGATAGGAAGTCAGCTGTACCTCATATGAGTACTACTGATTACAATCAAGGCATGCAGACGAATGTCTCTAAATGCACAATCCAAGAAACCTTTAAGTAGATGAGCTACAGCAGCAGAAGATCATACTGTTTGCACAGGCTCATCAAATTAGCACAACAGAATATTGGCTAAGCATCACCTGGTGTGATGACACTCGATGACTTCTGCGATATTTGGATGGTGGGGTCTGGATGTGAAGTAATCGATCCTGCCTTGTATCGATGGTTCAGGCTGCTGGTATTGGTGTAAAGGTGTTGGGGATATTTTCTGGCACAATGGGTATTGCTGCTGTCCATTTTCATCCCTTTATAACCCACCTTCTGATGGCTCCGTCCAGCAGAATAACGCACTACGTCACAAAGCTCAACTTAATCTCAACTTGGTTTCTTTAACATAAGACTTTAGGTGGAGTCACTGAACTGGACATCTCAGCTGTTTTCTGGTGTTGCCATCTTTTGGGGGCATTTTAAATACAATTATCTAAAAAGCACAGCCTGCAGGAGCTTGGCCTATAGTTACCCGCACTAAAAACCTGTCAAAGTTTATGCTGTAGTTGTTTTTTTCCTGGCCTTAACTCTAGTTTCCACTTTGTATTTATATAGGCATTAAATAACAGCTAGCTTAACACTTCACTTCATCTATTTATGGTCACTTAGCTCAATAAAAAACAAAACAAAACTGACAACTGCTAACCTTTATAATAGTAATTCAGTAACAGTATTTCAATGGGTGGCACCATATATAGTCCCCATTTCAGAAATGTATTCAAATGTAAGATGTGTTTTAACAGTCAATTAAAAAAAGAACTGCCATTCATTTCAGATATAGCAAAATTATGTAATAAAAGACACAACTATGCATTTTTGACCAATGACATCTTCAGAATATTAACAGGCATCTCAGTTTCTCTTGGGTGAAAAAGTTCAGCACATCTTTGGCTCCAAAAGACAAACATTTTGTGGAGAAAATTTTTTTTAAACCCCAAAAACCATCTTACATGTAGTCCGTGCTGGGGAACATCTAACTTTTGCAGACACACTTGACTTGCTCACAATTAGCCAAGCAAGGCCTGGTCTGTTCAGCTTTACTGTTTCCATAGCTACCAAAGCAGCCTACCAGCCAGCTAGCTAGCATAAATAGAGTGCACCAAGGAGCCCACCGGGTAGTGAACAGACACTATGAATCAGTGGGGCTGATTATAATCCAGGATCAAAGGATGAATAATTCATCAATCATCCTTATGAAAAGGTCAAAAGATAATTATCAACAAGGTGTTAAAAAATACCATACATCTGACAAATCTATTGAAAAAAATGTTTAGGTAATGCCCCTCTAATGATGCACATTTACATATGCACATAAATCATAAATCAGCAGATTAACTTTGCTGCCAGGATCCTGAATCTGAAAGTTTAATAAGCTGATCAGATGAGGCGTATCCTGTCTGTGTCCCGCTGGCTGATGCTCCATCTCCAAACCTGGCATTAGCTCCTCAGCTTATCTGACCTTAAAAGATTATGATAGCAGCACATCAGATTTATAGATTATACTCAGTTATGTGTTAACGTGACACAGATTACAACCTGCAGGAGTGGGATTTAGCTCCTGTAAGCAGATAAACATTAAATACCAATTCATATGCAGCTAAATGTGCATGAGGGGGAGGGAAGGTAAGGTCTTTGCCCCACCCAATCCAATCGTAAATCAGCCTCAAGCCCAGAGACACCAGCAGCCAGTCAGTGAGTGGACAATGGCTTTTCCTGCTCCTTTTATCTATGCAAAAAGCTACTCTTCACCTCCATCCTGAACTCTAAACTTTACATCTGCCAGCCATCTTTTTTCCCTCTCTGATGCATTGATTTCCTTCATCACTCATATAGATGTTCACTGAACTTTAGTCCATCTTGTGCATTGTCTGTATACAACCAAGTAATTGATGGTAATCGATTTAGAGGCCATTTCCTCTGCTCCCTCAGATGCTGTTGTTATTGTTGTTGAAATTATTTCCAAAAAGGATAAATAGACTCCAGAACAAAATGAGTTGTCGCTGATAATTCTGAACTCATCCATGACACCAGGATAAATCTAACGTCAGCTTTCCTTCCAGTATTTCCAAAATAACATTTTCTTACAACACTGGACTTTTCCAAATATGCAAGAGGCCACAGTTTTGCACAATGTGGCAGACACTCAAGTATGAAACTACCTCGTGCCCACTGTGGTGCTGGACCCATTTGGGGTTTTCCTGCAAAAGCGAGGAGTTCCTTACCCAGAGCCCCAAATTAAACCGCCTTCTCCTCCTCGTGCAAACAATGATGCAGTGCCTCGATCCTGGCTCGGTAACTGTGCTGCTAGATTTAAGCAGCTAGTGGTGAGGGAAATAAATAAAAAAATACATAAGTGACACGAATGCCAAAAGACCGGTGGTTTCCACACATGCAAAGCAGAAAGAGGACCTGCTCAGAGCTAGAAGTGAGAAGACAGGTGAAGTGAGAAGACATGTGTGATCCACCTGCAGTCTAAACAAATTAACATTAAATAGAACAAATTAAAACCCAGCATTGTTTCTACAAGGATTTCATACCCAGATGAGGAGACCAACTTGTGGCAAGCTACAGGAAAATTTAAATATCCAACCTGGGGGGAGATTTATGAACAGCTTGTAAGAAGACGAACACTTTCCACGTCTGCCAATAAACACCGATTTCCATAAATAAGATACTGTCCTTTTCTGTTTCTCCATTAATTCACACAGCCAGAGTGAGACAAAAAGCAAATAAGGTAATGTGGAAACTCCCTTGCTGCATGCCCCAGCACACCCAGCACATTGAATTATTTACCTCACATATGAGATTTGGGTAAAAATAGCATGCACCATTTTGGATACTCTCTCCACCCTACAGAGCAAGCTTTGACAGGCATCTTCTATTGCCAAAACAATAAATAAATAAATAAAATTCTGTTGATATCTATCATTGTTAGGTGGCAGCATACAGCAGGAACTGTGTGCGACGTGAATCTTACCATAATCTGAGTGGGAAGATCCTGCAGGTACAGAAGCTCTTCCAACGTGGCTCAGTCACACTGTTATTACTGGTACAGTCGTGAAAGGTTTGCATGACAGATGTTAAAAAAATAAATAAAATCTGGTCATCCAGCACAACTAGCCTGTCACCTCCTCCCTCTCTGCTCACCAGTCAAGAGCAATCTGTCTCTCTCTCTCCATCTAGTATGATCAACACTGAAGGTGAAGAAAAAAAAAGAAAAAAGGAACGCAAGATGCTGCAAAGGGTGGAGAGACAGGGCTCGCATTCAAGACCTATTTCACTTTGGCACATGCCAGTGACAGGCTGTCTCCATCTGAGCGTAAAGCGAAACTGCTCGTATTCCCTTTCCTCCCTGTCGCAGCAGTCAAACACTGCTCACCGGCGGAGAGCGAGAGCCCTGAGATCGCGTCTCTGGAAAGCCTCAGTGCACACAATCGCTGAGGAGGGGGAGGGGGACAATTTGTGGGGGGCGGTGGGTAAGGGGAGAGAAGATGGGGGAAGGGGAGGTTAGGGTAGTGACTGTGTGTGCATCTGTGGGAGTGTGTCTATTGTTGACGAGTGTTGAGGAGCCCCCCTTTTTTTTTCTTCCCCCACTTCTCTAAGGAGTGAATGGGGACTGCAGGTTCAGCCGGTGCACTCCTTTATTCAGCCCCGGGTGACAAAAACTCCACACGTAGGTTAACAGCGAAGACAGTTTGCATCCTGGGGACATAAATAAGAGGAGCTGGGACTTCTTCCTGTTTATCCAGTCAGTGAACTATCAAACGTTGAGTGACGTCAGGCTGACAAAAGAAAAACTATCCTCTTTAAACAAACCCAGCTGAGCATTTGACAAAAGAATGACTACTTTATCTCAGATGAAAGATGTCCTCCTCCTGTCAGCTGTGTCACACCGTGATATTCTCCGCAGCGACAGAATGTACTGTATATAAACGTCGTCTCCCAACTCCATTACCTCCCAGCTCCCTGCTCTCAGGAACACAACGCTGGGAACCTTTTCAAAACATCAAACAAGCTGTCGATAGCATGACAGCGCCGGATCACTAAGCTTCCTGCTCTCTCAGCAATATCAGTCATAGCTGCGGGGGCCAGCACCTTGGGACTCTCACAGCTTTCCTGTATACAGTTTCATTATCGCGATTAGTGTTGTCACACTTTCTAACTTGCAACTAAACTCTCTTGCAATCTTCAATAGCGGCGAATGAAAACCATTACAGCAGCCAATCCCTGAAGGGTGTGGACTATTATTGGAATATTTTCTCAGAACGTGCTTAACAAAAGACACAGAACACGGTTTCACACCCAGTGTTTGCCTTCGCCTACGCTGACTCAAAACCACCATTCAATGGTGACACGATCTCTGGAATGCAGCAGTGCATTATGCATGGCCAGTACCATGCATGCAGACATAAAAGTGCCTACACATGCCACTGTCTGCTGCTGATGTGGAACCAGATGCTACTCTGCAGCCAGAAGGAAATTATTCCAGCCTGAGGGATACTAGGGTGTGCCACGGAGGGGGGGGTTGGGTGTTTCCAAAGGAAGAGGGGGGGGGAGGCCGCCACAGATGTCCATTTCATCGAGCACACCTCAACATCAGAGGAGCACAAGCTGGCCACTGACCCCTAGCCTTTAACTCCAGCAAGACCAAAACAATGAACCATACATCACACACGTCCCCCATATTTCCGTGAATGGCGACGTATGAACGCCGAACGCCACGCAGGTGTGGACTGAGCTTTAAAGAAGGAAGAAACGTGTTTACGCTCTCGTCTGCCTTAAGCAAAGTGTATTGTTAATGAGAAGGGGAGAACAATGAGGATTATGCATCAAAGACAAAACACCTTTTTACGGTGACTCCCCCAACCTGCCAAAGCAGGAGGGGGAAGGTGCCACTGCCCAGATCAATTGCAGGTATTCTTTTCTGCCTTTTTAGGGAGAAGAGCTGGTAGACAAGTGAAAGGAAAAATAATAAAGGCTTAATTGCTCAGGCCACCTTAAAAGCCATTAAGACTTTATTCAATTCATACTAAATACAGTGCAGGTATGCCAAGGAAGGTGGCACGTCTAAAAGTGTTGTCTTTAAGGTGGCTGAATAGTTGTGTTTGCATGTGAACACAAACACAGTGTGTGTGTGTGTCTGTGTTTGTGCTTACTGCAAGCTTCCTATACAAAAATGCTGGACCTGCTCCAGCAAGGACCAATTTCAATACTTTTTGTCAAATTCCTCTCTGCAAAACAGCGAGAGCTCGTTCTGAAAACCCAAACAGGGCATCCAACTAAATAAGGCCTGACATCCATAACAAGTCACAGCAGAAAGTTCAGATTTAAAACAAAACTTTCATTCAGCCAAGCGCTTCCTGACTCAATGTCCGATTTCCCAACCAGCTTTAAATTGATTATTGACTTTCCTAAAGGACTCTAAAGATAGGTTTGCGTGTTTGTGTGCAGTTAGCATTAACAAGCAACGGTGTCCTGTGTGATTTCACTTAGCACATGCGAATCCTGTGCTTTCAATTAGAGACATGACCTAATCACTCATCCTAATCTGGTACGGGGAGATAAACAAGAGTTGTTGTTTTTTTTAAATGACTGTAACCAGACTGCTTTTAGACTAAACACTAACTCTGCAACATTAACCTTTCTTTCCAGCAGATGTTCCAAAACCAGAAAGAAACACTGGCAACCTTAAAAAAAAAAAAAGCACAACTAAAACCTCTAACCCAAGGGAAAGTCAGAGTGACAGACAGAAATGTCTGACCCGCTCAGCAGCAGGCAGCCAGTGGTTTAATGATTTGTCTACTGCTGGTGAATGATCACACAGCAATATCCTGTTCTGGCTAGTTCTGTGAACCCCCCCTGAAGGCCCTGCCTGACATGATTCTGGCGTGCTTTGGTGCCAGCTAGCCCATCATATTGACAAGATCCGGGTGTCTGCCCCCCGTGCCTAATGTGACCCTCCGAGGACCTCTGGAATGAAAATCGACGAGGCAGAAGAATTACATATTGAAGCCGTCAGGGAAGGCTGCGATGCTGGACGATGAGAAGAGAGAGGCGGGGCTGGTAATGTCACTAACAAAGCTGTGAAAACAAGATGCTGGCACCTTCCAAAATTCTTCAGCGCTTATGCAATGTAAACCAACCTTGTATATAATCATTGTAATATCATAGGGCTGGTTTATAACAGCATTCAGTCATTAACGTATTGAGGTAAGACAAATACTGCAATTTATAACAACTTCTGTTGTACTAAAGTCTGCAGCTAACAATTACTGCGTTATCTATAAATTATTTTAGACATAAAAAGTAAGTTGAGACTAAGATAAAAAATATATATATTTTTTTTGTTGAAATTGTCTAGTTCTACCTTGTCGTGCATGCATATTTTCTACTCTTCATGGTGTTTTGAGAACAGACACTTTTTCCTCCAGCCCATAAAATGGAAGATTAACTTATAATTAAGGCAATAATTACAACATTTTTTTTTTTTTTAAAGTTCCTCTTTAGTTTTCCTTCAGTCATTTCATCTGGCATCAGGAGAAGAACTTGAGTCTGAGAGGCCACCTGTCCCTATCCTTCCCTCCATGCTTAGAGAAGGTCAAGAGCAGGCGTGGGAGGATCAGCAAAGAACCAAAAACAGTCACAGAGAAATGCAGGACTGCCAGGTCAGAGGGCAAATGTGGAGAGGAGGAATACAAAAAGCATAACCTATTATTCAATGCAGCCTGCTCACCACCTAAGATTAGACATGCATGCAGGTGAAAACGCTCTGCTGATGAAACCCATGCGCAGGTCACTGCCGACCCTCCCCAGTCTTGGTAGTACAACATGCCCTGAAACTTGGAGAACTCCTAAAACTCCCCCAAGAGGCATCAGAGTGCATGCTGCAGGTCTTTATTTCACTCGGTGACATTTGGGTGCTCTTCATATAAACTGTGGTTACGTGGCTGTGTGCTTCAGCGCTGTCAATAAAGGGCTTTTGTTGCTGCAGTGAAAGCGCACTCTTGATTTATGCATGCCAAGGGTAGAAAACCCTCGACTGACCTCTAAGGTGCCAGACTGGCATTTTAAAATAACAGTTTAATACTTACAAAAAATGCGTGTGAGCTGGGGGACAAGAGATAATGAAGTACAGAGGAGGGTTTTTGCGATTAAAAGACAGTATGGACTCCAGAGCCGCCCGCTGCTAACATCTTATTTTCTGGTCTGAAACGTCGAGAGGGAGTAATGTGAAAGCCGAAAGCTGGAGTTTAAAAAAAAAATAGCTTAAAAGTAAAACACTGAAACGATGCATTTTCCACACCTCCCTTTGTCTCTGTTGAGGTTTCAGCTACAGCGCAACAAGTGCAGCTGAGCTTGAAGTCTGCGACGGCACGCACGAGTACGGAGCCGCGAGGCTACAGCCCTGAATCACTCCGCGTTTTAGAGAAGGTGACAAAAAACACAGACGCTACTTTCACCGAGCAGATAGCCGCAGGTTAAACATTTCACTGAACTTAAAGGTACTCACTGTGGGACGTTTCCCGGTGCGTACGGAGATGAGGGTTGAGGCAGCGTGACAAAGTTTGACTTGTCGGTCTCTCTCTCAGCTCAGCATGGCGGCGACTGAGGCCACAGAGTGGATTCAAAACTCTCCGGGCTGAGATATCAGCAGACAGGGGGAGGGTGCACAGGGAGGCGGCGAGAAGACAAGGTATCTCCAGAGAGCGCACAGCCACATTCAGACAGGCTCCTCTTTTCTTTTTTCTTTTCTTCCAGGCGACCTGTCTAGACTGAAAAGACTATCATTTTGAAATACTGTACTTAAACAAATTAAATACACTTTTTTTTTTAATAAATCCTATCGTACTTATTGCACACCTTACATTTACTGCACATACTCGGATACTGTACTAACAATATTTTATACTGCTAGTAAAAACTTTAATTTCATTTATAACATAAATTAATAAAATTATGTATTAGATGGGTTACTCAGGATATGTTAAATAGGAGATCTGGAATGTTATTTCTGTTTCTGTTCATTTATTTATTTCAGGAACCATGTACAAAATACATTAATTACATAAAAGGAAAACATGTACTGTATCACATTCAGCTGCCAGGTAATTTCCTTGTGCAGTTCCTGGGCATGTAAAACACATTACAAAAACTCACATTCCCACATATATACACATGCAGACACACAATAACAAAAGATAAACAACTCAAAAATACTAAAATATCTTCTTATTTATTATATTTTAATATTTTTGATTGATATTTATGTGCATTTGAGAATTTTTGCAGTGTGCATTGTCACTTCAGTTCCAGCTCCCTACTTTTAAATGCATAGATAGATAGAGCTAGCAGACCTACTCGAACTCATGAAAAGTAACATTGAGGTACTTGTTTACTTAGGTTTATGTAAATCAGCCCTCCATAAAAATACAAAATCAAAATATTATGTGTAGTATTGTGCTCATGTTTCCAAATGTCATCCACAAACAAATAATCACAGCTGCACTTTTATTATCCTTTTATGAATGTTTCATTTGTTCTTTTTCAGCTTTAAACCATAAAAGGCAGCTCCCAAAGGAAGATCATAGTCCAGATGTTTACTATACAATAATAGGTGACTGATTTGTATATTTTAATGATATTTCATTATACTTTAACAGAGACTGAACCTGGCTCAGCAGCCGCGTCTAACTGTAACTAATTATATCTGTGGATATTATTTTAAAGTTTCACAGTCTTGCACTGCTTTTCACGTATTGTCTTTATTTTTTTTTAACATCCTTGTGAATAATCCATCTGTAGGTGGGACCACTGGGTTCAAAAGGTCACTGCCAAAGTTCAAAGGTTACACAATATTTTCCTGAAGGAAAAGTGACTTGAAAACACACTGGGGAGGGAAACACAGACTGACCCTTGTCTTGTTGTGCAGGACAGAGAAGGAGGGAGTGGGGCTTTCCATGGCACCGCAAGCTGAAAACAATACCATCTTTGAGTCAACGACAGATTGCTGCTGCTACAAGATAGAACAGTATCACAGTACACCTCTGTGACTACTTTGTGGGTTCACTGAGCAACAAATGCCAAGAACTTTACCTGCCCAGCTGAGCTGCAGTAAGCCTCTAATGTCCTTTATTGCAAGTCGTTGGTTAGGCTGTACCCTTAAACATGCCAGCGCTTCCAGGCATCTTCTGCTCAACTACAAATTGTTTATTTTCATATCAGCCCCCGGTGATTTGAGAGCTTTGAGCTGAAGGCTGGCTGTAGTTAAAAGGGGACGGCCAGTGCTGCCCTGAAATGAATACGAAAAGCAGCTGGGTTTATCTTCACTCACTCTGTGACATGTGCTTCTAAGAGAAAACAGGTGACCCAGGAGGAGGAATGTATGCTAACTTAAATGTAATGCTGCAGCTCGAGTGATTTGCTATCACTTAAAAGATCTGCATTTTACATCATATTAGATTTACTAATCAGCTTTATACAAGTATCACAAATTTGCTTGTTTTTCTAGGTCTTTCTGAGCTTGTCTGCCTCACCTTGTTTAAATAGACGTCCAAACTTAGGTTTGTTAGTGTTAAAAAAAAGACAGATATATGGATTAAAGAATCTTATTTTCCTGTTGCTGTTGATAGGAATATCAACTGATTGCATGAAATCAAAAAAGCAAGAGAGTGAGTGTCAGAGCACTAAGTAGACGCACATATACTTACACACACTGGCACACAATAGAGCAGAAAAATTAATAGAGCAAGGTGTAGCTTTCCAGTGTAAGTATATGATCTTCATGCCCAAACCCTTCAGACACACTGGTTGGATATATTTAGAGTCCCTCGTCGGTGTATCCATGCTACAAGGCAGACCGCAATTATTCCCAACAGTGGAAGGGCCAGTGCTGGTCTGAGATCAGTAAAGAGGAGAGTGCGTGTGTGTGTGTGTCAGCTGGTACGGGACAGGATTAACGCCACAAGAGTCAGAAGCCAGCTCTGCCAGTAGTCCATTTGCATTGAAAGTAAGCCCAGCAAACTCAGAATGTTTTGCTGGGCTTGTTTTTACATTCAAATCCTAAGTAGTGCAATTCTAAAGAAATTAAGCTGTAAAAAACGTAACCATGTGATCTATTATAACAGTACAAGAGCAGTTGTAGAGCGTGACTGGTTCACTTCATGGTGCTGAAATAAAAATGATGATAATAATAACAACATATGGCAGAGAAGTGAGTTTTGCTTGTGACTTTTTTAGTCATCTGGTAAGCAGTCTGTGGGAAATTGGACCCTTGAATGCTGAATTCATGTGTGATTTTATCACAGGCGTGCAGAAGTGAAAGAGGAAAGGAGTTTTTTGGGCTCCTTATTTAGCTGGCCTCTCCTCTGTATTTACTTTTTGTTCTTATTTTCCTTTTCTAATAAGCCATGCACAATGAAACGCATGGTATTTGTTTTACAATAAAGCATGTTTGTTTGCCTAAGTACTTCTCTGAATTCAACGCCTAGTTATGAACACCAAAACAACTAAGGCAGCTGATATGTTTGCCTGAGGCAGCAAGGCTACAGTAAGTATGTGGTGCCAGATTATATATGTTTGAGTTCTTTTAATTCTACACTGGACCGCAGTAATAGAAACAGTCATCTGTGCCACACAACAGCACAGTGTCAATTTCAAATCTCATTTAGAAATGTTTCTGAATACCTTGAACACTCTAATGTTATGCCCTACGAGTGCTGCAAACCAGTATTGCTCTGCAGCAGGTGTCTGCCTGAAGTCTGACAAAGCAGTACCATCTAGTGGCAAATACTGAACATGTCAATATGTTTACATGAACCATTGCCCTCACATCTACTGCCATAGACTGTATGGAAAAAACAGCCTGCTGCAGTTATCCCAAATGAGTTAACTGCGCCCCCTGGCTGCCAGCTTTCCAATGTGTCCGATTGTCGACAAATATACACTACAATGACTGTTGCTAACCCCGCTCCCTGTCAGTGTTATGTAAGTGGCCTCCATGGTACCATCATCAAATCAATATGACTGCAAGTTTGCTGAATGCACCAACAGTTTTGCTGGATGCAAAGAATCAAGAGTAACATTAGAGAACTCCTCTACTTACCTCAAGTTTAGCCTACAAGAGATCATCACTACTTAATATTTTTGGTACACTTGAATGAGTTCTGAGAATGAGCAAATGCATGTTTAAATTATGTAATCAAATCACAACATGATCACAAACTTCCACTACTGTTCTAAAAACATGCACCATTTTCAGTACGTTTTTTTTGTGCCACTATTTTGCAAGCACACTCAGAAGAAGTTATGAATGAATATTACCACAAACCATCATTAACCATGATCAGTGAAGCATCCAATGGCACAATCCTGGGAGGTCAAGAGTAGCAAGTGATACAGTGCTGCTCCCAAAAAATCTAAGCTGGGACTGAAGTGAGTTACATGACATTTGCAGCATATATTTTAATAAAATTACACTGCAGTGTAGCTCTGAGTAAAGCTGATTAAAAATAAACATTTGCGACAGGCTTCAGGTGCGTACCCTTCGTTTTAATACGCTTTAAGTTTCAACACTGAAATATAAATCCAGCCATTTCTGCTGGGCGGGCCGATAACTCGCCCTCCAATCAGCGGCTACAATGGCTACACGTGCTCCCAGACGACCAATAGCGAGGGGCGGACTAGGCCGTTTGCCGCACCCAAGTGAGGATGATGGCGGCTGGGCGGAGCGACGACGCGGGGACGACAAGCGCAGAGAGATAAACCCCGCCGTGAGGAAAAATAGCGAAAACCGTTGTCTTGCTTTCACCGTGTTCTGTTTAAATATCACCATTTCATCAAAGAGAGGGTAAGCGCTGATATAATCAACGTGGTTTGCATTTCAGCGACGGTGTTTATCCGTGGCGGCTCCTTCATATCGGTGTCTTTCTCGCTGTGTGTTCAGTGAGGCTCGGTTCTGTTTTGCTAGCATGTTGCCATTGAGCGGGGGAGTCTGCACAGACGCTGCTGTGCACTGTTAAACGACTGTTTCTGCCTTTCACTGTCCTTTAATAAACATGGGCTCAGCTGCTCCCCTGGACCCCACACTTTGGTATTCAGAATGTTTTACACTAAGTATCGTTAGCGTTCTTTCCTAGCAGGCCTGTGATGGTGGAGGTGGTATTTTTATTTTATTATTTATTGGCGCACAGTTACAGTTGCGTTGTAATTTGGACCCCTCTAGCTGTTCGGGTCGATAGGTTTAGTCGGACAGAGGCTCCTCGCCGTGCAGGTCTTACTCTAGTCTGGGTGTGTTTCCAAAGAGTGGGGGAGAAATTTGGGTTCTTTCCAGCTGTGTGTGCTGGTGATGGAGCAGTTTCCTGTGCTAGGTCAGACAGCTTTATGTCCTGCATGATAATATGGGCTCGCACACACTTTTAAATAATAAACAGGGTTTTCAAAAGAGAGCAAGAGAAACGCGTGGAATAATGCATTCCGTCAAATGGAAAGCTTGAAATGTATAGTACAGAAATGAGGGCTAGCTGAAAGCCTAAAAGTGCTATGGCTTGATGTGCATGGCATCTGGAGTGGGTACCACACCACATAGATTTTGGGTTGTTTTTTTGTTTTTTTTTGTTGTTGTTTTAAATCTATCCTGAAAGGATAAATTTCATTTATTAGTGTGGCTTATACAACTGTAAATTGATCACCTTTTGATAACGTGGTGTTGCTCACAAAAAGGTTTCTGTCATATTTGTGCGCTAAAAACAATGATAGAAAATATTTACTTGTAGCCTTAAATGTTCACCTTGAATAAGGATGATTGATAGATGGTCAATCTCAATACAGTTGCTCATTTGTTTTGAGGCCCATGCTTTCGAACAGAGCCCCTAAGCTGTGGCTGTGTCTGGCTTGTTTATAAAGTCTGCTGGGAAGTCCCTTCCCCCACTTTGTACTGTATGAGGATTATCAGAGCCAAACTGCCAAGATAAATTGTCTGTGAGTGTATGTGTTGAGGCACGGTAACTCCCTGGATTTGGTAACTCTGCCAGAATGAGCGAAACTCCCAGAGGATGGTGTTTAGCTTCGTCAGTCTGCTGCCACCCTCGATACACACTGAACTACTTCACATACACACTTACTGTAGATGCAGAGCTCTGTGTTTAACTCCCACTCCCCACGCCTACACGCTTGACTTCAGTGCAGCTGAAAATGTGTTCCTCATTTTAGCTCCCTTCTCGCCGTTTCACTTTTTCCTTCCTTCCTCTCCATATGTGATCAGTTATAGCAGCATCTCAGGTGGTAGTGGCAGATGTGAAAATAGTCATTGGTGAACTTTCATTTGCACCATAGAGGTCACCAAAGATCATGTCAATTTGATGCAGCTGTGTTTAGGTTGCATATTTAGCTGGCAGATACATGCACACAGAATAGCATGGGCCTTAGTATAATGCTAGGGAAGCTGCACAGGGAGGAGTGTGTTGTTTCAGAGAATGGTCTTCCACCACCCTGTCCCATGTGACATACGACAGGCAGATGAATCTTGAACTGCATTTTCACAGTAGGGTTAAAAAGTGTCTCACCTTGTCATGGCAGTTACAAAAGATATCGTTTCCATACTCGTCGACCCATTGAGGGTGATGCAGTTAATGTAACACACAGTAAATATAGCACTACCAGCCTGCTGAAACACTCCCTGTGAGGCACAGATGGAACGTCGGAGCCGTGTTGGCTGGGATGCATCACTGCACACATGAAAGAGGGAGAGTTTAGTGCCCACTTTTACAGCCTATACCAGTGAGAGAGCAACAAATCATGTCAATCAATGTCTTAGATGCCAGCAAAGAAATTTCAGTTTAATTTAAATATAAATTTCGGCTGCAGTTAATCTGTTTTTGCAACACAGTGTAACTCCTGCCTTGTTTGTAGTGTGTGCATTCAACAAAAAATATAAATTTAAAAAATGCTTGATGCTTAAGGGGTCGACGTTGGCCAAGCTGTGCTTGGAGTACCCTGGGGTCTAAGCAGACTCCTTGCTGCATGTCGATCCTGTGTTGTTGGATTTTTTTGTTTGTTTGTTTTTGTTTTTGTTTTTTTCCCCCTCTCACATTTCCTGCGATTCGCTTCAACCGCATGATCAAGAAAAGTTTTTTAAAAAAGCCCCAAAAAATGGACCAAAAAAGTTGTCTCATTTTGAAAAACAAGGTTTCAAGATTTCACTTAGCTTTGACTCTTAAGTCCTATGCTTGAATATGAAATGGAAAAAAGGAATTACTTGTTTAAATGCCCCCTCCTCTTTTTTGACGTTATTTCTGATCAAGGAAAAAAAATAGTATTAATGTAAATTAATGTCAATAGCCTTGTTTACATGGGCACAAGTAACCTCATTAAAAGCCTGTCTGCATTAAAAAGAAGTGTAAACATGCCAATTTGAAGATTGTTATGTAATCATGCTCCTTTAATTGTTAATCGGTTTGATCTGCATGTAAATAGTTCTTCCAGTGTTCAGGGTGAAATTATTCTTGCTCTACATGTCTGTTACATCAACACAACAAAAACAAGTTGAAGGTCTGTTCAAAAAGGAAAAGTAACACAAACTTCACAAATGTTAGAGAGGGGAGAAGCTGAAATCTGTGACACACGGCGTTTGTTTACATTGGAAAAGACAACTGCTTCTACCGTTTTCCAGAAAGTTAGACTATTCTGCGCTTGTCAAATGCTTGGATGTGTGTAAATGCAGGTAATGGTCGGATCACTTTGTTTAGTTTCTATGTAAACAATGACGTTATAATACAGGTTTTAATTAGATTTACATTTTGCACGTGTAAACATGGCTAATGAGAGCAGCATTATGTATTTGATTTGCTGCCTCTTGATTTTAACATGTTAGCTTGTTTAATTTAACGAGAATGAAATAGTCTCTAAAGGTGCTGGTAGATTTGCTGATACAGCTTCTTTAATTTTCAGTGGAGTGCACAAAACAAGACAAGACAACATGCACTGGGCAGAGCTGGAATGACACCTAATGCATTCTTTCTGGTAATAGTAGCTAGAGATGACGCTTTCACACACGCAGAAATACAAGAGTTACTATTGGATTCTTTGTTCCCAGTGATGATAGGCATCCAGCTTGGAGATATAAGGAGTTATTGTCTGAGAGCATCTGTCAAATGGCTGAAAACAGATAGAAACAGAAAGACCATCACTACTTTTTATGTTTGTTTTTCTTTTCCCCGCCCCTTACAAATCTTTTCAGTCTCTCATTTGATTGGCATATTTTTGGACACAACAAAATAGATCTTTTAGTCTTAGCTTAGTCATGCGGGAAAGATGGTTTTAGTGCAAGCTTCAGTCTCTCAAAAGTAAATTATGATAACACTGAAGTGTGCACGAACACACTGAGTGGTTGGGAGTTTATTAAGAGCCGGGCGCACAGAGATGAGAAAGCCCGGGGCTGGTCTTCACGCGCCACCTCGTCTGTGTTTTTGTTTTTTTGCCCATCATTGTCTCATCAGTCTCTGGAGTATGGAAACATCTGTATCGGGTGTTGTCAAAAGAGTTCAAAACATCAGTCCCCAAGAGAGAATGTGGTTATTTGTTTAGTACAACAGCTTATTGTTCATTTTCCTGTTTAAGGGTAAAAATGTATATTGTAATAGAAGGTCGTGACTAGGATCTGGAGTATTTTGTTGTGATACTTTAAAACTGTGGACAGAGCCTGATACAGACTTTCAGTCTGTATCAGGCTATTGGTAGTTACTGGTGAAAGTTCTGTAGCATGGCTCTTTTTGGCAGGATAGGAGTTTATAGGATATTAATTTGTCAGGTGTGCCATTAGTTCGGTAAATATATTGCCCTGATCCCTACCTTATTTATCTAAAATTTTGTGCTTATTTTTATTAAGTAATTTGCAGGGTTTTTCTAAGGTTTGTTTGTTTGGCGTATATTGAATCAAATGCTGTTTAAAAAAAATCACACTTTCCTCAGTCAGTGTGAAACCAAATGTGCTCTTTTATCAGCTTTAGCACCCTGTTAAAAGAGAGACCTCAAACAAGGGGATTTTGCCATTACTGCTGTTGGCGATAAGGGAGTCTGACACTGTTCATCAGCTAGAGCTTGCCTCAGAGCAGAGTGTCTCAGTCTTCAGTTCTGTTTCTGATTGCCTTTGCTGCAGGCTGGGGTTAACATGGTTGTTGTCTCTCCACTATGCAGTATCAAAAGATCATTATTCACATCTCCACCCCACAGCTAGTCTTGTAGCAGCTAATACATTTTTCCACAAACCTCTGTGTCCCTTATTTTTAGTTAAGACGGAGAACACACTGCTGAAGTGATGATAGTAAAGGTAGCTATAAAGTCCCCGGCATTTGCAGGGTAGTCTTCAAACACACCCTGGGCTCTATTCAGCAACTACAGAGCACTTTCCAATACGGATTTTCCAGTGAGTGGCACATTAATTCAAAGGTGTGCTTTCTGACACTGACTGCCTTGGAGTGTGATGTTGGCCCACAGCTGTTCTTACATAACAGCAATCTTTATAGGCTGTCCTGTGTTTCCATGGTGATGTGTTTGGTTTCCAAGGCAACTGTACTCCTAACAGGAGCTGAGGCCAGCTGAACACATGCACCTACATTTCTTAGGAGGAAAGGGCCTGGTGAAATGGCAAACTTTCTGTGTCTGATGATGTTTTGCTTACTCTGTCCACAAGAAATAAACACTTTTGAGATCTGATCATTTGTCACTTGTAAACACCAGAAAAGAGTTGCACTGAAGATGCTCCTGCTGGAATTTTAACAGCTGGATGATGATGATGTTTGTTGATGTTTGAAGTGAGGCTGAGTGGAGTAAGAAATTATGTATCAAATGCTT